AAGCAAGAATTCTTCTCCTCCCTTGCCTCCCTTTGTGTCCACATGCTCCAATTCAGGATGCGTCTGGAACTTAACTATCAAAATCTCATAAGTAAGTGCAAGGAAAAATAAGTCAACTTCAGCTATAAACTTAGCTTTAAAAGTCCTGAAATTATAAGAAAAATAATATGGTCAATTACAGTATATTTAAGAAATGCAAAAATGATTCAACCTCAAAAAATTTAACAATGTGATATTATGCAACAGTGTTCAAAAGTGGAAAATTAATATCATCTTATTAGGAGTCTAAAGGCATTTAATAAAAACTAATACCTACTTACAAATAAAATCTTTTAGAAAACTAGAAATATAAGCGAGTTTCTTTAACTTGATGCACTCTATCAAATCCCTATAAGAAAGATTATATTTAATGGGAAAACTACAGAAGGGTAGAAACAAGAAAAGAATCTCTTCCCTATAACTCACCTTAGAAGAGGAGATATTGGTCAATGCAGTAAGATGAGAGGAAAAAGATATATAAAAATTGTAGTAAACAAGATCAAATTATATGCCATTATTTATATCACAAACACAAGAGAATCAAAAGAGATTAGAATCAGGTTAGAATCAGAGTCAGACAGACGTTTACTTTGTGTGTATCAATATCCAACAGCCAATATGTTCCTCTGTGTATTTTCATGAGTAATCGTGATGGTTAGTTTTATATTATCAACTTGGCTAAGCTGTAGTGCTCAGTTATTTGAACGAAACACTAATCCAGGTGTTGCTGTGAAGATATTCCATAGATGCAGTTAACCTCTTCCATCAGTTGACTTCAAGTAAAGATTACCCTTGGTAATGTGAATGGGCCTCATCTTATTATTTGAACACCTTACGAGAAAATACGAGTTTTCCACAATGGAAGCTTTTCCACAAGACTGCAGTATTAACTCCCGCCTTCGTTTCCGGTCTGCAGGCCTGCCCTACAGATCCTGAACTTACTAGCCCCCACAATTAGGTAAGCTGGTCCCTCAAAAATATATAGATATGAGATAGAAAGAGAGAGAGTGTGTGTGTGAGAGAGATATCCTATCAATTATGTTTCTCTGGAGAATTTTTAATACAATGAGTAAAAAAGGAAAATAAGATATATTTTGCAACGGTGTGAAAATCTGTATCTTATCTAGGAACTGAGCTTTATAAAAATTAGTAAGACCAGTACAGATAAAACTTTAAGCTTTATGAAAAGACATAAGAGAAGTGAAATGGCATGATTATGGATGGGATTTTTTAATATCCAATGCAATTGCAACTGTAATCTCAGGCAGATTTTAGTAGAATGTGAGAAACATTGTTCCAAAATAAATGTGGAAGGCTAAAAGTTTACAAACAGCTAAGGAAATCATTGAAATAATTTTTGAAAAAGGAGAATTCACCTGCTGGATATAAGTACGTGTTATTTTTTTTTTCCTTCAACTTTTATTTTAAGTTCCAGGATACATGTGCAGGATGTACAGGTTTGTTATACAGGTAAATATGTGCCATGGTGGTTTGCTGCACAGATGAACCCATCACCTAGGTAATAAGCCCAGCATCCCTTAGCTATTCTTCCTGATGTTCTCCCTCCTCCCTCCACCACCCCTCAAAAGGCTCCATTGTGTGTTTTTCTCCCTCAGGGGTCCGTGTGTTCTCATCATTGAGCTCTCACTTATAAGTGAGAGCACACAGTGTTTGGTTTTCTGTTCCAGCATTAGTTTACTGAGGATAATTACTTCCAGCTCCATCCATGTCCCTGCAAAGGACATGATCTAGTACTTTTTATGGCTGCATAATATTCCGTGGTATAATATACCATATTTTTTAATCTAGTCTATCATTGATGGGCATTTGGATTGATTCCATGTCTTTGCTATTGTGAATAGTGCTGCAATAAACATACATGTGCACGTGTCTTTATAACAGAATGATTTAGATTGCTTTGGGTTTATACCTAGTAATGGGATCGCTGGGTCAAATGGTATTTCCACCTCTAGATCTTTCACCACACTACCTTCCACAATGGTTAAAACAATTTACACGCCCACTAACAGGGTAAAAGTACTCCTTTTTCTCTGCAACCTCGCCACCATCTGTTGTTTTTTCACTTTTTAATAATAGCCATTCTGACTGGCATGAGATGGAATCTCACTGTGGTTTTGATTTGCATTTCTCTAATGATCAGTGATGTTGAGCTATTTTTCATATATCTGTTGGCTGCATGTGTGTATTAATTTGAAAAGTGTTCGTATCCTTTGCCCACTTTTTAATGGGGTGGTTTGTTTTTTTTCTTGTAAATTTGTTTAAGTTCCTTGTAGACTCTGGATATTAGACCTTTATCAGATGGATAGATTGCAAAAATTTTCTTTCATTCTGTAGGTTGTCTGTTCACTCTGTGAGCAGAAGCTCTTTTGCTGTGCAGAAGCTCTTTAGTTTAATTAGATCCCATTTGTCAATTTTTTTCTTTTGTTGCAATTGCTTTTGGCATCTTTGTGATGAAATCTTTGTCCGTGCCTATGTAAGCACATATTTTAAATCCATTGATATCAAATCAGTGCAATTCTTGCACAGGAAATAACACATAGATCAATGAAATCAAGTATTTCCCTAGTCACATGTAAGTGACAAAACTTTAAGACATTGCAAATGACAGAAGAAAGAGCAGATTACACAATAAATAACGTTGGGAAAATTGGCTTCTTACAAGAAGAGAACAAGTGGATTTCCTACCACACAATCCATGCAACTGTAAAAGCGTTAAACCTAAATGTTAAAGGGCATGTTATAAAACACTTTGAAGATTTCAGAGAGTTGTTTCATGAATTTGAGTTGAGAAATAATTTCTTAAGACTCCACAAGCCCAATTTGCTTTTAAATTTATAAACAGCATAATTTAATTACACAAAGAAAGCTATTTATTTTTATAAACAGCTTAACCCTAAAAATATCAAGTTGATAGAATTGTATATAATTCATCTCTAAAAGTAGAATAAATAATTCCATTTTTAAATGGAGAATTGAAATGATTCTCAAAGCCCATCAATGAGCTGAGATTTATAACTTCAGGATCAGTGCTTTGATGCATAGAATTTCTAAATCATAATCACTTCTCCAATCGGAACTACTCTTGTCAGTTACTCACAAATAACTCTTCCTACCCCTTTGTCAGGACAAGTTCTGAGCATGGTGGTAGAGTTTGTATATTTTGTCTTGAGGCTTCTCAACAATTTTCTAAATCCTCTCAGATCTGATTTTTCAATTTATCTGTGTCGACACAAGAGTCTGCTAGGGAAATGCTCACAGGTACTGTACATTCCCTGGAGAGGTACCATAAAAATACTAAGACATATGATCGAAAGACCAAGGTTCCACATCTATCCCTCCCACTACCAGCTGTGTGACCTTAGGAAAGTATATTGTCACTCTTTGTCAAGTATACATATTGCTAAAACCAGGGGGACAATGAGCTTGCAAGGTCCTTTATAGTTCCAACAACTATAATTCTGCCATTACCAATGACGCTAATGTGAGATTACACATCATGGTAGCCCAAAGTGAAAGATATTTGGGAATAGGCCCCATGGACTCTGACACTGCAAATACAGCATCAATTATCTAGTACTTTTATGACAACAACTGGCCCTGTCCTCAATATGGTAAGAAAAATTTCTGTTTTCTGGGTTCTTTAGTTGTTGACAAAAGAAAAACAAAATTGGCTAAATTAAGCAAGAAAATTTTTGTTTAATTATTGGAAGCAAATGTGATGAGTCATGAAACTGAAAAACAGAGCTGGTAAACTAAGTTTCTTAAAGAACCGTGTGATAATTAATTTTATGTGTCATCTTGACTGTACCACAGGGTGCCCAGATATTTGGTTAAACATTATTCTGGGTGTGTCTGTGAGGGCGTTTCTGAGCTGGGGCATCAGTCTTCTCCTGTCTTTGGATGCAGACTTGCACTGGAACTTACACCATCAGCTCTCTTGGGTCTCCAGATTGCTGAATGCAAATCTTAGGACTTCTCAGCCTCCATAATTCAATTCCTTATAATACATATTGGTACATATATTTACATAATATATACAGAGGTTGAAAAACTATTGTATAGATATCCTATCCATTTGTTTTTCTGGAGTCCCTGACTATATATACAGAAACTCAAAAATCCCTTGGGATGATGAGAAAAAAGACAAAGAGAGAGCATCCCCACATCACCATGGAGGTACTTCTTCACCAACTACTTCACCTCTTCATTTCATCTGTGAGAGATAGTTTGTCCTAGTTGGATTATAAACTTACCATCTCTTGGCCAGGGCAAGTCAAAGCATCTTGGTTGAAACCACAGACAAGGCTGACTGCAATAAAAGGGAGAGATCTTTTCCTCAAAGAGAATCAAGATAGCTACCACACAAAGGAGAAAGTAATCTTGGATAAGCAAGATCAACACCTCTCACAACAATTACTCACAGAAGGCTCTGACACTGGTATATAATAACTGTCATTTTCTGAGGCTTTGCTCACATTGGAAAATCTCTGCTGTCAGGCCTAATAGAATCAGAGAAATTATAGACAGTCTACAGCTCGTCTTCATCTGAAATGGTAGTTTATTAGCTTGGACTTGTTAGGGACACTCTGCTGTTTTTATTCCCCCCATTCCTTTACTGAAATCTCTTCAAACAATAAAAAAAAAAAAAACTAAGAATATGTATTTACATCTTTTCTCAATGTCTCAAAGGAATTTTAATGTCTTTAAAAAGCATGTTTTTCTTCAGACACAGTCAGTCTTGGTAATCTACTATTGATACTTTCATAGGGATAGAGTAAGATGTGCAAAACCAAATGAGGTAGAGTTCATTTTGAAAATAGAGAAAGACATTATAGTCATACTAAGTAGAAAATCACTGATAGAACTCCTTCTGCTCCATTATGACCAAACTCTTCTTTAGAATTAAGAATCCATCATGCTGGCAAGAAATGTGCTTGGAAGGGTGCAGAGTTATTCTGCGATCTCAATGAGAAAAGATGTAGAGGTGGCAAAAGACAATTTTGCAAACTTCCTAAATGTGTCTACACTGAAGTTACTGCTTTCCTTCAGCAACCTGGATTTGATTATAAGGATGACTGAATAGTATAAACCAGGTTTGTTTTATTCTCATGGTTTCTTGAGGATTTAATCCCTATTTGATTCTGGTTACCTTTTTACAAAATGGGACAAAATATGGCCACTGGATATTGAATGTTTCAGGGAACACTGAAACATGTCACCTGGTCTTACCCAGTGGTAAACTGCATGAACACCTGACCTCCCTGAAGTTGCAGCCAAATACAGCACTGAGAGTGCATGTGTCCGTTGTGAATACTGCACTTCTTGTTTCCTTTGAAGAAGTCCTTTTCCCTGACAGTCTAGAAATAAGGAGACGCCTAGCCCCGGAGAAGAGCTTTACTGATGCCCCCTACCACAGAACTGCCTGTGCCCATGGAGACACACCTGCAGCAATAGAATCCTCTTCTTATTTTTGCCCCAGTCTGTGTAGTTATTTGCCATGGAGTCAAGCAAAGAGAAATTGGAAACAATATCTGACTTAAGTAGAGCATTTGAAATGCAGGGGTTTCATGTGTTAATATAAACAAAGGTTCCATCTGGAGTTGAAATCTGGTCTGATTATTATTATTATTATTATTTTATTTTATTTTTTTGGAGATAGAGTCTCTTTCTGTTGCCCAGGCTGGACTGCAGTGACGCAGTCTCGGCTCACTGCAAGCTCCGCCTCCCGGGTTCACGCCATTCTCCGGCCTCAGCCTTCCGAGTCGCTGGGACTACAGGCGCCCGCCACCACACCCGAGTAATTTTTTGTATTTTTAGTAGAGACGGGGTTTCACCATGTTAGCCAGGATGGTCTGGATCTCCTGACCTCGTGATCCGCCCGCCTCAGCCTCCCAAAGTGCTGGGATTACAGGCGTGAGCCACCGTGCCCAGCCCAAAATCTGGTCTGATTTTTAAAATATGTGATAATATATGAATAAACCATCTTAAAAATACAGGAGTTGAAGACCAGCCTGGGCAACACGGTGAAATCCCATCTCTACTAAAATACAAAAATTAGCCGGGCGTGGTGATGATTATGTGCCTATAGTCCCAGCTACTCAGGAGGCTGAGGCAGGAGAATCGCTTGAACCTGGGAGGCGGAGGTTGTAGTGAGCCGAGATGGTGCCACTGCACTCCAGTCTGGGTGACAGAGCGAGACTCTGTCTCACCAAAAACAAAAAACAAAACAAAACAAACAACAACAAAAAAATACTGACTCTTTTGGAGAGCAAGTTTTTACTAAGCCTGTGACCTCAGCTCTGTCATTTAATTTCTCTTAGTCTGGGCTTATTTATCTGTTTAGTAGTATCTGCCTCACCCAACTCAGAGGGCAAGTTGAAATAATGGACGTGAAAACACGACGTAAATCCAAAGTGAAGTGAAATGGAATTATTGCTGGGAAGCAGTCTGATGTAATTCAAATAAAATAGACATTGCAGTTGGGAGATCTTGGTCTAACTGAAAATTCTTAATAGCAAGGTATATATTTTGGCATTTTCGATTACAGGAACATGAACTAGCAATAAATAGCAGAAAAATCATTAGCTCAGGTTTGTAGTCAGACAGACACAGGTTCAAGTACAGACTCTGCCACTTAATAATTTTTGTTGTCACACAGCACCTTCCCCTGTCTAATACTCAATTTTCCCTCTTGCAAAATGAGAAAAATATTCTCTACCATGACCGAAATTAAACTGGCAATATATCCATGAAAGGAAAGAGAAAGATCAAATGAAAAAAGTTAAGGCAGCCTCAGATTCAAGAGGAACTGAAAAAATGTAAAAGGTGGAGATAAACTACATCAAAAGAAGAACAGCTGCAGATTCTAAAAACCAAAAAGTCAGCAAGTATTTTAAATGAAAATGAGAATCTTGCTTAGCATTAATGGGGAAAAAAGCCTCCCAGTTAAAAAGGCTAGAGAAAGGCAACTTTAGAAATCTAAACCAGCTAAAAAACAGTGAGATTTTGCAGGGACAACAAAAGAGGTCAGGGTATTTCATCACCTACTCAGAATTATGCATTAAAAAATATGTGGATAGGATATTCTTCGGCCTAAGCAACTAAAAAGATGGGTGTGTAAATATGTCAACCCTGCATGGTCATGGAAACATGTGCCTTCTTTTTTTTTTTTTTTTATTCAACTATTAAGTTCCAGGGTACACTTGCAGGATGTGCAGGTTTGTTACATAGGTAAACGTGTGCCATGGTGGTTTGCTTTACAGATCAGTCCATCACCCAGGAATTAAGCTGAATTAAGCCCAGCAACCATTAGCTACAGTTCCTTGTGCTCTCCCTCCCCATGGCCGCCCTGACAGACCCCAGTATGAGTTGTTTTCCTCTATGTGTCTATGTGTTCTCATCATTCAGCTCCCACTTATAAGTGAGAACATGCAGTGTTTGGTTTTCTGTTCCTGCATTAGTTTGCTGCAGGTAATGGCTTTCAACTCCATACAAGTCTCGGCAAAAGACATAATCTCATACCTTTTATGCCTGCATAGTATTCCTTGGTGCATATGTACCACATTTTCTTTATCCAGTCTATCATTAATGGGAATTTGGGTTGATTCCATGTCTTTGTTATTGTGAACATATGTGTGAATGTGCCTTTGTAATAGATTGATTTCTATTCCTTTGGGTTTATACTCAGTAACAGGATTGCTGGGTCAAGTGGCGTTTCCACCTCTGATCTCTGAGGAATCGCCATACTGTCTTCCACTGTAGTTGAACTAATTTAAACTTCCACCAGTGTTACAGTGTTCCTCTTTCTCTACAACCTTGCCAGCATCTGTTGTTTTTTGACTTTTTAATAGTAGTCATTCTGACTGGTGTCAGATGGTTATCTTATTGGGGTTTTAATTTGCATTTCTCTAATGATCCGTGATGTTATTTTCATGTTTCTTAGCCACATGGATGTCTTCTTTTGGGAAGTGTCTGCTCATTTCCTTTGCCCACTTTTTAATGGGATTTTTTTTTTCTTGTAAATTTAAATCCCTTGTAGACCCTGGATACTAGATCTTTGTCAGATGGATAGATCACATAAATTTTCTCCCATTCTGTGTGTTATCTGTTCACTCTGATGATAGTTTTTGTTGTTGTTGTTTGCTGTGCAAACGTTCTTTAGTTTAATTAGATCCCATTTTTCAATTTTTGCTTTCATTGCTATTGCTTTTGGCATTTTCGTCATGAAATCTTTGCCAGTGCTTATGTCCTGAATGGTACTGCCTGGGTTTTCTTCTAGAGTTTTTACAGTTTTGGGGTTTACGTTTAAGTCTTTAGTCCCTCTTGTGTTAATTTTTGTTTAAAGAATAAGGAAAGGGTCTACTTTCAATTTTCTGCATATGGTGAGCCAGTTGTCCCAGCACCATTTATTAAATAGGGAATCCTTTACCCATTGTTTGTTTTTGTCAGGTTTAAGATCAAATAGTTGTAGGTGTGTGGTCTTATTTCTGAGTTCTCTATTCTGTTCCATTGGTCTATGTGTCTGTTTTTGTACTAGTACCATGCTGTTTTGGTTACTGTAGCTTTATAGTATAGTTTGAAGTCAGTTGGATAATGCCTCCAGCTTTGCTTTTTTGCTTAGGATTGTCTTGGCTATTCAGGATCTTATTTGGTTCCACGTGAATTTTTAAATAGTTTCTTCTAATTCTGTGAAGATTGTCAATGTTAGGTAATGGGAATAGCATTGAATCTATAAATTACTTTGGGTAGTATGGCCATTTTCACAATATTGATTCTTCTTATCCCTGAGCATGGAATGTTTTTTCATTTGTTTGTGTCCTTTCTGATTTCTTTGAGCAGAGGTTTGTAGTTCTCCTTGAAGAGGTCCTTCACTTCAATTGTTAGCTGTATTCCTAGGTATTTTACTCTTTTTGTGGTAATTGTGAATGGAAGTTTATTCATAATTTTGCTTTCTGCCTGTCTGTTGGTGGTGTATAGGAATGTTAGCAATTTTTGCACATTGATTTTGTATCCTGAAACTTTGTTGAAGTTGCTTATCAGCTTAAGAAGGTTTGGGGTTGAGACTATGGGGCTTTCTAAATATAGGATAATGTCATCTGCAAACAGGGATAATTTGACTTCCTCTTTACCAGACTTTGTCTTCTATCTCTCAGAGCACTTCTTGGAAAATTCTGCAAAACTGACAAGAAGACCTCTGGGTTTTTCTTCTTATGTTCTTCTCTGCACATCTGCTCAAAGAAGGCATAAGCAGACGTATTGCCCTTTTTTCTCAGGGTTGTCATTAGCCATCCTGACAGTAGTGTTCACTAGCCTAAGCAGTGCAAGGCATGACAGGCAGCTCTGCGCTCCCCAGCCTCCTCACGCTAGCTACCTCCATGAGAGCCACCTATTCCCTGTTCCTTTCTTTCTTTTATTTTCTTTCTTTCTTTCTTTCTTTCTTTTTTTTTTTTTTTTTTTTTTTGGGACAAAGTCTCACTCTGTCACCCAGGGTAGAGTGCAGTGGTGTCATCTCAGCTCACTGCAAACTCCGCCTCCCGGGTTCAAGCGATTTTCCTGCCTCAGCCCCCTGAATAGCTGAGACTAGGCACCCACCACTACACCCAGCTAATTTTTGTATTTTTAGTAGAGACGGGGTTTCGCCATGTTGGCCAGGCTGGTCTCGAACCCCTGACCTCAGGTGATCCACCTGCCTCAGCCTCCCAAAGTGCTGGGATTACAGGCGTGAACCACAGCATCCAGCCCTCTTCTTTTCAAAGTAAGTTTCCAGTGGCCTTTTCTGGAGGCCCAAGTAACTTGCATTTATCAGTTTACAGGATTTAGATTCTGCAGTAAAGCCAGGGATAACACAAGTAAAGCAAATTTTGAAATTAACCAAAGAGCTCTATCTTATACCTGTGGTAACATGTTTATGAGACAAGAATTTCAGAACAAAGCTGAAAAAATGTTAGATGCATATTTGTGGAGAATATTTTAGTTTCCTTTTTTTTCTGAGAAGAATTGAATCGACAAGCCACATTTGATAAATGTTATGAATAATTCAGCTAGGTATGTTTGAGCATCAAAGACATATAATTTTTTAAAAAGCTAGAACTTT